GATAAGGGCAAACTCTAAGGTTAGTTGGGCACATCCGGTCTTAGTGTGCTGATTAGTTCGTGGCCTATTAACTCCTAGTGAAGTAAGCCCATCTAGGTAAACCAAGACAGTCCGGCCGGGGAGGAGGGTACGGGTAACGGGTTCGAGAGTCAATAACAAAACCAGTAGATAGCCAGCCTACTTTACTTGGCTCCGCGAAGCCGTTCTCCAACAACCCATTACAAGAACCCCCCAGCATCCTTACGCAGATGAAGCCTTCACACGCGCATGGAGGAACTGGAAAGATGCAGCTGTGTCATGGATCAGGGGTCTCTTCCCGTCGAACCTTCAGGGAAAAGTCTGTGATACCCTTTTTCGTGCGGGTGTAACTGGTCGATGAGCCCAGTCTGTGGTTGCGGAGCCAAGGATCGACGGGAGAGACAATCGGACCTCGTGGCAGTGGGTCCTGCGTCCATGCGTTTGGTGGTGATTTGCTTGAGGTTGTTCCGGGCGCGACGATTTTGTGCAGGTCCCGTAGTACCGGAGGTCAGGAATGCTCCTCTGGGACTCTCGGGGGTTTTCCATCCATCGCCATCATGGTCTTGCCGTGGAGGAGCAGGATCAGGAACATGAGCTTGCCGCAAAGATGAAAAGCCAGCCGGTGGGATGAGACTACCCCTCCCCCCTGTCTCTCTAAAAGCCACTCCAAAAAGTAATGATGCTTGCCGACCTGAAGAGAGCCCAAGTCATTGTGCTCTGTGGCTGTACTGATCATGTTTGCCTTTTTGCACGGCAGGCTTGCTAAGCTTCATCGAATTTGCGGAGAAACCTCAGCACAACACGGACAACACCATGAGGCTAGAGAAGAAAACGCGGTGCCCTGAATCATAAGCCTTACCTATATCCCCACTCCCACTTGCGAAAAGCTTCCTAATCTTCTTTGTGCAATGCCCTCCCGTGCCTCCCCACCCGAAGGAACAAAGGATGAACAATCGCGGCAATTGAGAAGGCCTTGAGTGTATGTCCGTGCCTCGGGATGGTGTATGTAATCAAAATGCAGCGTCGATCCATGCAGGGATACAAGAGTCTCGGCCAAAGGAGATCCCAGAGCCAAGCCAGGCAGACTGGCATCGGCCATCATTCTCAGACTTTCAGATGCATCTAGCACGGGAGAACCAGAGACCAGCGCAACGCCAGGCCAAATTGCTAGCGCAAGAGATGACACAGCACTGACATCTGATCGAGCATCGCGCAGTATGTCGGGATGTTCAAGCGGCACCCGCCAATAGTTGGTATATTGGGTAATTGCCTTCCCTTCTTGAGTCCAACGGGAGGCTTTTGTTACACGATGGCAAGCTGGATACGAAACAGTGGTACAGAGACGGCTTCCAACGTGCCAAAAGTGCCCGTCAGCAATTCAAATAGCAGCATGCCCGTTGCGGGTAACGCTTCTTTTTGTGCTTCGGTTGTGCCGACGCGTGATCGTCAAGTATCTCTTGATGAGGGGAGGAAATGTCTCTCCCAGAACTGTGTCGGCATCCACGCCCCACGGCTACGTGCATGTCTCTCTGCCTGCGGGGGATCTGCAGGCCCGGCACTTCTCGTAGCATACGGTTCAACCTAGACTACCACCTTGAGGGTTTCCCGTGGTGACGTCGAAATGCTTCGAGGGCGGGGGATTTGGGCGTGTCTGGCGGTGGCTCAATGGCAGCCACCGGGCGCAAGAATCGGCCTTCAACAATATGGAGGGAAGTAAAATTTCGTGCGTAAAAACCGGCATATTCATTCCATAGACATTCCACGACGGATCAGGGACTAGATTCCCTCGTGTTGTTAGTGATGCGCCGCTCCCTCCAACTCCTGGCGCTAGTACGCAAGCGCAAAGACGGCTCTACCTGGAGAACGCTAAGATGGTATTATGCTCTGCAAGTCGCATCATTGATGGCTCAGCGGGTGGCTGGCGTGGAACTTTGTTGGCATGGGTCGGCGAGTCGGCGCGATTGGGCAGACTGAATCAGTTTGGATGTTAAGAAAGTAGGCACGATTGAATGAGCACGTCAACATAGTTCACGATGGTAGTCTTGTGCTCGGCCTGCGTCTAGAAGAACTACCACGATTCAGAAGCATCTTCTAAATGAGGAATCCATCTAAATCAGGCTACTGTTTTGACGCTTCAAATAACCTTGAGTCATATGAAGACACGGGAGCTTCTCCCGTTGGCTCACTTCTTGCGAGTCCGTCCGTTCTGATTCCGCTTCTGTGCCGAATCAATTCCCGCTTCCCGTTGTTCTCTGACCATGTCTCCATCGATCGTCTCAGGATTATAGACGACTCATGAGAAGGGCGATGCTGCGGGTAGTGTGCATCTCCCGTCTACCGAAATTGCTACGGATCGACCAGCTCTTAGTCCATCTTGAGACGGACCGCGAGATCAAGACATTCTCTTTGCCGGACGTTCCGCATCTTCCGGAGGCTGGTCCGTCGACACAGTTCGCTGACGGGTCTTTCGAGCTGGCATCTGAGCAGGTACGGACTACAATGAAATGCCTTCTTCTCGCGCTTCAGGCAAGGCGACAAGCCAGATCGATCTGGATCGATAGTAAAATGGAATAGATTGATTGCGACTACATATGCCCGCCATCCTTTCGTCTCGCCGTTGAAACTTGCTGCTCAAATGCCGCGAGGCGCAGGCCATGACGCCGTTGGCGACAAGCCCGGCTGTGTAACATGGGCAAAATGGTATAACGTGGGCAATATGGGACCGCCGAAAAGCAGGACTGTGGCGGAGGCTGTCGAGGTGTTACAAACAATCACATTCCCAAGCTTGAAAGATGTCCCAAGCCTACCGTCGGCCAACCAGCCTCCGAAAGGCGTGACGCAAACGGACTGGCATTTCCAAACTCTGAGTTGTCGACAATCGAAATCTGCTTCCCCATCATCATCGACCCGGGACACTAGAGCGCCGACTGCCAGCTCGGTATCTCTGGAGAGTACCACATGCGCCAAGTGCATCCCAGACATCGACTTCATTGATTTCATCGGTGTCGACTCCCACACTTCATGCTTGAGGACCGTCCGGTGGCTTGCTCTAAAATAGCCATCCGCTGACCGTCTGGGGTATCCCGCGCAAAGATTCTTTGATGGACCTTGGGAGATCGTCCAGCATCTTTATGATAAGCTGGGAACGTCTGTCATTATCAGATGGTCGAGTAGCTCAAATCGCAGAGCACATCGCGCGTTTGTGTTCGAGATATCGAGCTGTATCAACGTGGATCGAAAGATCGTTTTCTCGCGATGTTACTCTGGTTGGTAGCGCCCATGGGGGTTGAAGATGACGGACTCGAATTCCTCCGAATCAGGCAAGACGTCTCAACCTTGCGTGTGTCCCATATGATATTGCGGCCGTTCCTTGAACAATCCCATATGCGAGCCCGTGGGATGAGCTTCGGCCTCGCATCCGACCAAGTCTATTGAACGGCTTGTGGGATGTACTGAGGTTGGGAATTGGCATCGTAAAGAGTACCATTCCCGTCGTATGGAGTCGGCTGGTTGTGGAAGACCCATTGTAGACGAGTGTGCTCCAGAATTGGAAGTCCACTGGAGCCATTGAGAGCAAGATTCGGGGGTGGGTAGGGACGGAACTTGCTCGCATCCCCATTAAGTGGTCCAAAGTACGATTCCGAATTGTTCACAGAGGCCATATTGGGTGGATCTTTGTTCGGTACAAGCACTCTGCTACCGAGGTCTTGCACGAACTGAAAGATATTGGCCCCAACGTCGTACCGGCCCAGATTTGGCGTCTCCCAGTTGAACTGGACTGTTGACAACATTGAGTAGTGTGTATAGAAGGTCTTGTCTTCCGTCCCTCTCCTGTCTTGGGGGAGTGCGCTGCCCAAGAGTAGTGACGCAATCTTGTTTGGTTTTCCGTGATCGTCAGACTCGTCGTAGGTGAGTTGGATGAGCGTGCGCTCTTTGAAGGCGCCCGGGACTAACATTGGCTTCAGGAAATCCTGTGCCCATTTTGTGGCATACTCCAGAGACGTATTGTGGCCATCGTTCATTTGGTTGGGAGACATAAATACCCATTGAGGCACCTTCTTCTTCTCGAAGTCGGTCTTGAAGTCGTCAAACCCTTCGATATTGAGCAGGCGGGATCCGTTCAGGTTGATGGAGTCAAATGACACGAAGGGGCTGATACGATATTAGCATCGGCGGATCCAGCAGGACCCTGGGCAAACCAACTTGTGTTTCCGTACGTAGTCCCACTTTCCATCACCCGTTTGGCCATCGCTGGCAGCAGCCAAGTAACCTGGGCCAGGGATGTCTTCCATGTACGCCTTCCATGACAAACCCCTCCAGTCGAGAAGATCCACGATGGTCGATATGTTTAACGGCAGTCGGACCGGTTCGTCATGGTTCAGACCAAAGTAGTCTCCAGCAAGAGCTGCAATGTAGTTGGCCTGACTGGGGTGGGTATGCGCGTAGTAATTGGTGAGCAAAATCCCGTCCTTCTTGAGATCAGCAATGTGGGAATCTTTAACGACTTTGGCGAAATCCTGTCGAGTAACCAACGTTAGCGAATGGGGTAGGCCATCAAGGGATGTGGGCAGACGCGCCTGGTTTTCCAGCCAGATGGAAATAAACCGATCGAAGCCCCTGCCAGGGATGTGAAAGGCTCCGACGATCGCCAGCAATCCGGTCAGAGTAAAGAAAGAGAGAAGCATCGTACAAAGTCCGCCAAACACCGTTACTGCATCGCAATCATCAATCGGCAACCTCAAAGAAAGAAATCCCAACGATCGGGTGGTTTATTTTGCGAAAAAGCCACGACTCTTCGTGACGAGAAGCAGAAGAAACTAAACAATCGCCACGGGCTCGCATCCGCCCCAGTTCACGTCTCAGCGTGCTACAATACACCGGGGCCATGGCGGCTGTGTGTCGCGCAGTTAAGCAAGCATTCTGTGCAGTGTTTGACGTCGATCTCCTTGAAACGCTTGAACGCCTCCATGTGGCACATTAGCTCACGTCGGCCCATGCACCGATCTCGGAGCGATGATCCGTGGTGACAGGGATGTCTTGATCTGATAAGAAAATACTTGTGGGTTGAAGAAAAATCGCCGCGAGGATTGAAGGTTGCGGTTGCGTAGCCGCCGCTGCGTGGACGATCGCGCGATGTAGTGCAGAGTCCGCAGGTCTGCAAAAAGGTTTCTGGGCCTTTTGGCGTGGGGTGTCCGTTCGTGTCGACTGGAGCGGATGGGGTCCCCAATCTGCAAGGGAACGTGAATGGCCTCGACTCGTTGCAGCTGGGAAGACTTTTCTCCACAAGTGATTAACGACTGGCCCGCATGACTGGGCCCCAGTCCCATGTCTTGGACAGGAAAGAATCCTCAAAAGTTCAGAGTCGGGGACATCCCACCAGAATGGCCAGAATGGATGGAAGGGTTCGGGATTCGGGACCCGACAACAACGTTGTCCGTTGTAGCTGGGGAGACCACCGTTTGACACTTTCCCTGTTGAGATGTGTCGTTGCCAGCAACTTCCATGCTTGTCAAGTTGTCATGTTTGACAGATTTAGTGTTTTGTGACCTGTCGATCTCGTTGGTCGTCTCCCCCATTCACGTCCAGAGTCTGTCTTCTTCAGGTTCGAATATCCCTCGTTGTGATGCAAGCTTGCAGTGCACAGTGCAGACAACCTTGAACCGGATATTTCGACCTGATGAAAGAGGTTGGCGCCAAGGCATTCCCGAGGGATTGAATGACAAAAAAGATCCATTGATGGAGAAGGTCCATCGCGAAGACCGGGCTCGTCGGCAGGACTAGTGGCAGTCGGTGTGGCACAGCCCTGATTTCTGCATGGTCCGCCAGTACGGATAGAGCAGGTATTCCTGGAAACGTTCTGACGACATTAGAGGCATTTTTTGGGAGGATGCAACGGTGACTCGCGTGGCATTGACGGCTCCCTTTACCGCTCAATGGTGTGTGTCACGAGACATCGATCGTCGAGTACAGATTGACTTTGCTGAGCCTAGCCAAGCCGCGTTTTCGTCGCGTCTTTTGCTGCGTCAAGGTCGTGTCTTGCTGCTGTCTGTCGTGGTGAACGAACTTGTAAAATGAGGGCCAGCAGGCAGAGAGAAAGAGAGGGACGGTCGGGGGAATTCTCGTGATCGTGGATCGCCGTGAACATCTGCGTGAATGATGGAAGATGAAGGCCTTGTTCATTTTAGGTAAAGATGGTGGGAACAACGCGTCTTGCGTCGGCTCATCCCCATGTTCGGTCGGCTTGTGGGTTGCAGCTGAGGTGGGTGCTAGTGAACAAAATTTTTATCTGATCTTAATCCCTGTCGTGTGAGTCAAGAATGGGGACCTTTGAGAGGGGAAGGGCCGATCTAATCTTATCAGATGCCCCATATCTGACTGCCATAAAAGTGGAAAGCATCACTCGGAGGGGCTCGGTTCTAGCACCTCGGTGCTCGGAATTGTCGGCCTTATGTAAGCTATCCTGCCAAGGCTTAACATCTTCCCATACAATTTCCATGCAAAAACTGTTAAGACACTGACGACGCTCGCTCGGCGGTAGCGTTCGCTGACTGACAGGGGGAAGTTTCTTCCCTTGGATTTCGAGCACATCTTGACAGCGAGCGGCGGGTAGAATGTGCCCACTCCGGACCGGAGGCTAATCCATTTGTAACTCGGTACTGATTGATATAACCGTGGCCGTGGCCTGTGTCTCACGCGCGGTACATTTTCCCTTCGTTTTTGATCATTTTCGCCTCCCGCGCTACAAGATTGAGCCGCATCAACACCATGAATTCAGCCAACGATACAATGTCTCCCTCAGTGGATGACGGTGGGAGTCTGTCTCCCGCTAACTCACGCGAAGACGATGAGAACTCACAGCACCCCCGCAAGCGCCAACGAGTGCGTCTAAGCTGTCTGGAGTGTCGCCGGAGGAAGCTGTCTTGTGACAGAGGCTACCCGTGCCAGCGGTGCCTGAAGAGCGGCACGCCGGATCGCTGCACGTATGAGACCAAGTCGGGTGCTGTGTTGAACGCCAGCTCTGGCGTTCCGCCTGCCTTTGCCCAGCTCGACTCACGGAGGAATGGCGAGCTGGCTGTTCCCGGCAAGGAAGCCGATGTTTCTCTTATCCGCGAGGCGGCCAAGGATCACGACCGCATTCGCCGTCTCGAGCTCGAGGTCGCTCAGCTCAAGACTCAGCTCACACGACAGGCCATGTCCTCATTCGATGGAAGCACAATTGCCGGCACCAACTCGCCACTCACTCAAAAGGATGAGACCAATGAAGCACCAGCCGACCCTTGCGCAAACAACTCAGAGCTTCAGTCATGCTGGCATCAGTATGGTGATGGAGACAAGTCAGAGCTCCGCTTTTTCAGGGGCAAGGAATTCCGAACGCGGTATTTTGGTCCTCACAACGCCACAATGGCTTTCATCGAGGTAGGTCTCTCTCGCTCATATACGCCCTTTTTCATCCTAATGAAGAATTCTCATCTAACTGCATTACAGTTGACTGGTCTGTGCCCCTTCATGAAGGAGACAGCAGATGAGTGGCTCAAGCCCGTGAAGGCTCATGACCGGAAAGACCGCAAGAAGCGCAAGGATGACAGGGACAAGTTCTACCTTCAGCCTGACGCCCAGCTTGAGGCTCTTCTGCCACCAAAGGAGCACTGCGATGCTTTGCTCGAGGTCTATATTGACCAATTCGAGCAAATGCACCGCATCATTCACATTCCCACCTTCCGCAGAGAGTACTCAGAGTTCTGGGAGAACCCAACCGAATCCCGCTACGCAGCACTTACCGCTCTCGTCCTTTCCATCTGCGCAGTAGCAAACTGCATCCACACCCACGAATCTTTGAGGTTCACTGGAATGATTTCCAACGCCCAGAATGCCGCTGAAAAGTGGATCAAGGCCGTTGAAAATTGGCAAGATCACCAGAGTGTGAAGCACCGAAAGCTCATCCACTACCAGATTGCTTGCCTCCTGTATCTCGCCAAGCGGGTCAACACCGTGAAGAAGAAGCGCTTCTGGACGAACTCCGGCGCTCTTATCCAGGACGGCATCTCCGTCGGACTGCACCGGGAACCCGGCATCATGGGGGCCAGCAAGATTTCAGTCTACAACCAGGAGATGAGACGGAGGATCTGGGCGACGGTGCAAGAGTTTGACATGCAAGCCTCTTTCGATCACGGACTACCCACGCTTGTGAGCCAGTTACACTACGATGTGCAGCCACCAAGAAATTTGGACGATGAGGACTTTGACGAAGACACGACGCAGCTCCCGCCTTCCAAGCACGGCAAGGAGTACACTTTCTCCTCCTACCAGAATCTGGCCCGCCAGAGTCTGCCGCTGCGCATGGAGTTGAGCCGCCTCCTTTGCGGCCCGCCAGGAGACCTGGACTATGACCAAGTCATCCGTTACACCAACGACATCACGCACGAAATCGACTCCCTTCCCTCCTGGGAGCACAACAGCAACAACACACACGGCGGCAAGAGACCTCTTCTCGCCTACACTCTGCTCCACATCCAACTCCGCCAGTACATCGTTCCCCTCCACCAACCTTTCCTGAAGCTTCGCAAATCCAACGCCAAGTACCAGTACTCCGAGATCATCTACTACAACGCCGCCCGAGACATTGTCCTGCTCCACGACAAGCTCTACGAGCAGGGTATTCGCAGCCTCAACTTCCTCCGCGAGGACGCGCTGACCACGGCCGTCAATCTCTGCAGCGTTACCATGCTGCAGCCGCGTGGCTCGACAAACATGATCATGATCAACTCGCAACACACCGTCAAACTCCTCGAGAAGTGCCTCCACATGAAGGAAGACAGGATCCTCCGCTGTGGCAACAACGAGCCCTGGGGTTACTCCATCATGTGCTCGGCACTCGGCCTTCTCGAAGCCCACCTGGGTACAAAGACCACCGAACAAGCCAAAGCATCGTCTGCGGAACGTTTCGTCAACCTGCACTACAAGCTGCTGGCGAATCAGGAACCTCCGGTATCGAGCCAGCCATCAGAGCTGTCCAAGATTCCCGGGTTGGAAGTTCCCGAGAGACCAAAAGTAAGCAACCGCGCCCGTCCGTTGTCGTTTTCGTCGTTCAGAACCGAACAGTGGCTAACTCGTCCTCCTCAGTCGGTGACGCCCTTCTCCTTCCAGGGCTACCCGTCGTCGCAGAACGCGATGGACGGGCTCCTGCCTCAACCCCTGCCGTGGATGCCACCATCCATTGATCCGCAGGTGAGTCTCCACGACTTCTCCCCAGCACTCCCAGCACTCGTCGCTGACAGTGTGTTGGCAAAGGCGCAGTCATACAATCCCGACTTTAATCTTGAAGCACTGGGATTGAACTTGAACGAGTTGTGGGGAGAATCGTGGGACTTTAGTTGATGCATGCGATGTTTGTGATGTCTTTCTTGATGTGTTTCATGGTTACTCAAAAGAAAAGCGAACTTGGGCTGGTTGTTTGATTCGGGTTACAAAGCCCCAAAGGGCGAATTGCTCTTGACTTGTATTATGGAGGGCGATTATTTATCACGTACAGTTGTTACGATGTTCGGAAAGCTTTGTGATACCCATCTCAATTCCTCTCTCTATCTCTGTTTCTCGTTAGATCTAGATGTGTAATATACTATACATACAGTCATGTCGGTCTTGACTCACAATCTGAACACGAGGTCTTTCAAAGTGTCCCTGGTGAGCTGTTGTCCTTCTCCTTTCGTCTTGGCTCGAGATATCTTCAGCCTCAAGATGGTCCATCCGGGTTAGCAGACGCTTTTTGTTACGGCATTCTCGCCTCACCACGCTTCGTCGCCCTCATCAAAACCCATCGGAAGGCCCCCGAGAACCCGCCGTTTCGGTAGGACCCGAAGACCATGACTCGAGTAGATTAGAATATTGGGCAACACGACGCCTGGACCACATCTAGTAAGTCACCGGACCGGACCAACTCATCTCCTCAGCAAAAGAACCTACAGTCCCCCTCATATCCCCGATAGCTTCCAGTCGCCTTCAATTGCCATGTGGAACTTGAAGCTTGTCTGAGGCTTAAAAGAGAAGAAATATCCCAATCGACCCGCCATCGACCAATGCGGCTCCACCTATACGATCTGTAGACATATATCCCTCGCTGCCACGAGTCGTTCGTGACTCGTTCGACGACCTTAATCGGGCACGGTGGGTTTCCCCAGCGTCTATCGAAACCGTTGTAAAACGGTCAATCATTCAGCGTGGCCCTACCATTCGACCAGATGCAACCCGGTTTCCCTTTGTTGTTACCAGTTGAGATCATACGCAGAGTGTGGCGAAATCTTTCCCCGCAAGACGCATAACGTTACCCGCGTGTTGCGGCTGAGGCAAGCAGGCTGGGTTTAAGCGACTTTCATGCCATTCGTCAATTGTTGTCATTGAACGATATGCGAAGTCATCGATATAGTCATCAATAAATCTTCCACTCTTCTCGATCCATCCCACTCGGCCGAGCCAAGAAATGAGTTTCTCTCCAGCGGTAGAAACGTGGACTCATTCTACTCCACAGCTATTCAACTCAGTATCATTATCGGCGTGGATTTCCCGTCACCGCCAAAGCGTTTGTCCCCGAGGAAACCCAAGAAGCATTGATGGCACTTGACGTCTCGAGCGGGGGTGGAAAGTGACTGAGAGGGGATTATCGAGGTTACATGGTCTCCCACTGGCGGCGGACAAGATGCCAGATCCAGGAACCGTGACAGGGATCAGCTCGGCACCTTCAAGTATGGCCTGCAACGCTCCATGACCACCCCTACCTATTCCTTCAGTTTCTCTCCAACCACCTTCTCCTTTGTGGCCCCCAACGGGCAGCTGGCCGCAGTGGTTCCCTTAACTCCACGATACCGACCGTTTTTCCCTTTCAAGGGTCCTGCTATATAGAACGGTAGAACATGAAGCTGGTGAAGGGGGCTTCGGGCTGCTAGCACCGGCACGCGGCATTTGTCCCTTGTCCTTACAGACCTCACATGGCCCAATTGCGTCGCAATGCCATGCCACGGGCGGGGTCAAGAGGTCGTAGACAAGCTCAGATGCTCGAATGATTAACCATCTAACATTCAGAGGGGGGCGCCGTAGCCTCGGAGATGATGAGCTTTGTGGGATATTGGTTCGTGTCGCCCTGGTTGCTGTGGCCCCTTGCTGACACCCTCTCTCTGGCCCGCGTGGATGAATGGCATGTCGTGAGAGGACCGAGAAGACGACGAGAGTCGGGGGAGGAGCTATAAGATGCAAGACGACGCTGATCGGACGCAGGAACAAGGCCTGGTCTATCACAACATCCAAGTTTGCTAGTCTTCTTTCCCTCCGCCGAGTCAGATTCCCCACGTCACAGCCGTCATCTGCAGTCGTGACAGTTTCAGACATCGGATACACATATTTAGAGACGATCTCCTGGTTCATCTGAGAGACTACTTATCTACCTCTTCATCTCACACCTCCTTCGCCACCTCTTCATATCCAAGCATACCTTCGGTTCACGATGGCGCCTTCTCTCCTCCGTCTCGGTGCATGGCTCGCTGCCGCTGCCGGCACAGTCACCGCCGCTCCTCTCGAACGCCGTGCCGTCATTGCTCACGATGCCGTCGTTGGCTTCCCCGAGACCGTTCCTTCAGGCACCGTCGGTAGCTTGTATCTCAAGTACAAGCCTTACTTGAAGGTCGTCAATGGCTGCGTGCCCTTCCCTGCCGTGAACGCTGCTGGTGACACTGGGTATGTTCACCTCACTTAACCAAGCACCTCACTCAGTCCATCTCTAACCCGTTATCCACAGCGGCGGCCTTGCCACCTCCGGCTCCTCAAACGGGGGATGCTCCTCCAGCACCGGCCAGGTCTACGCCCGTGGCGCCTCCTACAACGGCGCCTACGCCATCATGTACTCCTACTACATGCCCAAGGACTCACCCTCCTCCGGCCTGGGCCACCGCCACGACTGGGAGAACGCCGTCGTCTGGCTGTCCGCCGCCTCCACCTCGGCCACCGTCCTCGGCGTCGCCGTCTCCGCGCACGGCGAGTACGACACCAAGACCTCGGGCATCGACTACACCGGCACCAGCCCCCGTATCGGCTACCAGAGCGTCTGGCCCGTCAACCACCAGATGATCTTCACCAGCGACGTCGGCGGCCAGCAGCCCCTCATCGCGTGGGAGTCTCTCACTGATGCCGCGCGCACCGCGCTCACCAACACCGACTTTGGCAGCGCCAACGTGCCCATGAAGGATGCCAACTTCAACACCAACCTCGGCAAGGCTGTCTTGTAAGAGGGTTTCTCAGTGCGAGGATTTTGCGCATTGGTGAAAAGCTCTGGGAGATGGTGGCTGGGATGATTACTACTTAATTGTGAGGCAGGCTATTTGGCCGGCCTCGTGGATGACTTCATGCATATACTTTAGTCTTACTGAGGAGCGAGGGCCCTTGAAGCTCTCTGACGACGGCTCCGTAATACATAAACCTTTTACCCACTGTTCTGCCCTCGAAATCATGCGTAACACTGATGGGGAACGTCTGCGATAACACAGCAGTTCCTCAAAGATACGCAAGTCTCGGCTGGCGGCGACGTCCACAACAGATACTGGAGATCGTCGTTGCTCAAGCTGCTCGCTGAAAGAGGCAGCTAAAGAAATCTAAATCCAGCTCGTTTCATGATTCTGCCATTGCCAAGTTGAAGGTTGTCGGTTCGGACATTGAACGGGCAATCCCGCCAACCAGCAAAAGCATAATTGACAAGCCATCGACCCCAAGGCCCAGGATGGACGCTGCTGACCGTGCATGCGACCGAGGCTTGGAATTTTTGGAGTCGCTTGGAGGTCGTGCCAGGGCAGTTTTCTTGCCGCCTGCCGAAGACGGTAATCGAGCTCCGATGCAAGCAACTCAAATCGCTGGAGCCCAAACCGCACATCACAATCAACGGGCAGCGGGATAAGCGCTTGTAATACTAAATCGAAATCGAGATGGAATGCCGATCACCCGCTGTCACAAGTTGTTCGGGCTGAAATCTGGCTCTGAGAACGCCGCTTGAATGGAAATGCCATGCACAAACACATGGTGGCTGGTTCGCAAGAGCTTTGACAACTCGTCGTGTTACTGGCGAACTTGTGAAGTAGACGGATATGTCGGCAGCATCGTTATCAATTCAATCTACAAGTAGACAGCACACTCCAAGCGTCTCCGTTTGTTGAAGAATTCCCGTTCGTCGTCGTCGACGTCGAGTTGTTGCGCCCACGTGGTGGTTTAGGTTGTGGCCGAACTGGGGTGTTCAATGGCTCAGGTGGAGCAGAACCCCGCAGACGGGCAGTCCCCTGATTCCGAAGCCGCAGGCGATTCTGCTATGGCCCTCCATATGCGGCATTTTTTCCGCAAATCTTCAACAACCAGTATCTGGCCCTCTGGCGCAACGGTAGCGCGTTCGACTCCAGTTCGACATTCGTCGAGATGCCATCGAAAGGTTATCCGTTCAAATCGGGTGGGGGTCATTTATTTTGCCCTTTGAACACCTATTGTGTTCACTTTTTGGTCTTTTGGGTTGTTGGAGTTGAAAAATAGGTTGTTGTGGCTATTCTGAGTCTGTGAGAGACTGCGCAACTGAACATTGACAGGTGTGGGCGATTTTGGCTTTTGCTCTGTTGGGCACGGGCCAAGAAACCTCAATGTCATTGGGTTACCCCTCTTCCCCATAGTCTCGAAGCTTTCTAAGCTCCGAGGACAAGCGTTGCTCCAAGCGAAGAGCATTCCTCAAGGCAACTGGTACTGGACCTGACGACCATAAATCAATTACATATATGCGGTATGCTCGTCCTCTATCGGCCTCACAACTCGTTCATACACTTCTTGCCTGAAATCCTGATCAGTCAAGTCCAGGTGTTCTCTGATGAACTCTTCCTCAATACAGCATCTGACCGCGTTGGCGTAAGTTGTACCTCCAAGCTCGTGGCATAATACTCGATGCGCCGTCAGTCTATCGCATAGCAGCCGTGACACGCCGAGCATTGCCTTTTCGTCGGTATTTCGCATCGACTCCATGGTCTTCCCGCACCCAAGTTCTGCGAGGAGGATACCGAGCGAAACTAAAGCTGGGTTCCGACAACCGAATAAGGGGGCCGCTTGTTTCCCTAATCTTCCGTCTAGACTTGGTAGGGTGGCCATGACAAAGGTGTCGCTATAGCGAAGTATAGAGTCCTTCTTCAAGAATAAGACATCTTGACTTGTAATCATATCCGGTAGCCAGTGCGTCTGATGTAGTTGTAGGAAGCCGACAGAAACAGAGGCAGCCAATTTCCTCTTTGCCACGTATTGCCCGTGTAAACCGGAATACTTGCTCGGGTCCTCGAGAACCTCCCGCAGAGCTACAGCACTCCAAGCATCACGACCGGGCAGGCATTTGCCAGGGTAGACACGATATTCTCTGGGCTTTTCCGAAGTCTTGTCTGTGATTTCTCCATAAGAGCCGGTCCCGCCTTGGATATGTCGCTTGTGTATTTCTTCGCAAAGGTTGACTATCGGGTTTGGAGCAGCGATAGTGACCTTCGAATCAGAGTCCGGGGCGGCCTGAAGGACGTCATTACCCACTGGTTTGTTGGTGTCGACTGAGCGTCTGGGCTTTTTGAGTTGATGGTAGCGAATGACGATCTCTTCCCACATAGATCCTTGATGAAAGCCGCCAGCCTGGTCAGCAATGCCGAAGTTCATGGACATATAAACATCAATATTCTGCAGAATCTCCTCGTCACTCCGGCGAGCTACTCTCCCTAGCGTTTGCGGCATAACTTGCATGTATACCTCATGCGAGCAATTGCCTGGAAAACTGGATAATAGCGCTTGGTGAAGGCTTTCTGCTAGTTCGTGAACTAACTGCATTGTCCTGCCTCGCGCTCGTGATTCTCTCTTAGGGGCCATTTCGATACTTCGATCAATCAGCGACTCAATATCGGTGATATTGTTCTTTATGATCGTCATTAATCCCGTGTACGTGGACTTCCCGATAGCGAACATGATGCGTTTCAGTGCTGTAGCCAAAGGTGCGCCGTTCGATGATGGATGCTGAAACAGGATGAGCACGTAAATACTCTTGGGATGCAAGAATTGTCCTTACCTCTTCATTTAGCGGCAGATCGATTAACTTTGCTATATCTTCGATAGCCAACTTGATTTCTCCAACTTTCTCTAGCAAGATCTGATAGGGTCTCAAGTTCCAGAGCCTAGCTTCGATCATCTTACGAACGGCATCCTCATGCCACGCGGGGCCAAATGGGTCATTGACCATGTCATCGACCTTGGAGTCCGGAACGATGCCAGTGAGAAGCTTCTCACTCACATCTTGAAGCCTGATCCTTTCGTTCTCTAGGTCGGTTATTAGGCTTTTGAGTTCTCTGTCATACCTCCGCCAAATCCGTATCGCTGAGGCGCCGTGTCGATAATGTTCCAGGGCGGATATGAGCAGCGGTATGGTACCAAGGACCACGCCCACCACCTCGATACCGGACATCGTTCAATGCTGGCCAGAAACCTTCAAAGGTCACCATAGCCTAATTGCTCATGTTCAGTCGTTAAGATTCATATCCGGAAGATGTCAGCACATCAGGCGACTCCTCTCCGTTATTTGCACATTGAGGGGAGATAAGCGCCCAACTATCATAGGCCAGCCCGACGCGGCGTTTTCTCATCGGTGCGGGGAAACTCCAGATAATCAATCGCAGGAGACCTTCAAGATAGACTCGAATCGTCTCGTCGCGTTTCTCACCACATACATGGACCACAACAACAGCGCCCATGTCCTTCATACGTGCCTTACTTTCATCGCCTCATCTAGCGTCATTCTACACGTCGGTAAATACATCTTCGAGGTACAAGGTTGTTCATTGGTTTTTGAAACAGATACATATCAATGCCGTTCGGTTCCCATTCAGAAACTGATTCGACGAATCTTAGCCAGCCTCTTTATCGCCGTCCTCGGCCGGGACGTATTTCATACTCACAAAACTGAACCCGCACCATAGGATTCCAAAGACATGACAACATCGCTTCTTCTCACACCAGGCTGACGTCTCAACATGGCGCCATTCCTTAGAGATGTCGCCTTTGAAGTTATTATCTCTTTCGAAGAGCTAATCAGAATATGGCGACCGTACAACGGAGGACCTTCTGTCGCATCCCAATTTTCGAGTCTAAAAAGCGATCTATTACGGTTGAAGACGTGGCATGCCGACTTCACCACTCGCGATGTCACTGAGTTGGACGGAGGATATCTTGACCACCATCTGCGCACCGCACCGCATATTCAACGCCAACTCCTCAAATTACTGAACGGCCTTAAAGAGTCAATAGGCGATGCAGAAAAGATCCTTACTGGACAGATAGTCCCATGGGATAAGCTGAGCTACCAAGAAAACACCTCGGAAGATTTCATGACGGAACCACAAACGGAACTCCAACAGATAGCGACGGGAATCCGTGGACTGATCGACTGCTTGTTAAGACTCCGTGTCGCGACCGGAGACCCCGCTCCTCACAACCGTATCATGTCTGCCAAACTGAGACGAGACTCAGAAGATTATAGCTTTTATGTCAATTTCTTTCAAGAGACATGGGATAAAATCGAAGAGTTTTTAGCCGACCGCCTGGGCAAGTCAGTGTTCCAAAGACGAGAAACACTGAGACAAAGAGCATATGATCGAACGTCAACAAATTCAAGTCTACCTCTCAACGAACAACTCTCAGGCGCTAGTAGCAAACATCAGATAGCCGCCGAATCAACCCCTCTGGCAATATCAAAGCTATTGATCGACGATTCCAAGCGGATAAGAAATCCAGACGAGGAATCCACGTTGTCCGAAGGAGCTCGCGATATCTTACGGGGCATTGAGGCCCAGGTGGAGAGTGTGCTTCACAAGTCGACATCAGATGAATTCCAGTGCCCATATTGCAATATGACGCTGATGCTCAGTCACAGTGACCAAGATAAGTGGATGTAAGTAAGATAGCATAGCAATTCAATGCTGCCATTCATGCACTTCAGATTTAGACTAACTCAAAAAATTAAAGGCATCACGTATTGAGTGATCTACAAACATATGTTTGCGTTTCCAGGGATTGCATAATTCCTATCCAGCAGTACTCAGAAGAGACTCGTTGGATGCAGCACATGCTCGCCAACCACTTGAGAACATATCAATGCCCACTAGGCTGCAATGAGACCTACCCAAATGCGATCGCGTCAGCTGCCCACATAAGTCAACGGCATCCTGACATGATACCCCCGAGTCAACTAGATACCTTGATCAGCCTCAGTTCTAGTCCGATGAAGGAGGAAACAAACACGTCTTGTCCCTTCTGCTCTCAAACCATGGGCTCTATTGCTCAGTATCAATCTCACGTGGGCAAACACCAAAGGGAAGCGGCTATGTTTGCTTTCCTAAGTGAGCCTCTATTGAGAACACAAGTTGACATACAACGAAGAAAACAGGCAGAGTACAAGAAGGCAAGAGAACAAATGATGATAAGGAAAATGGTGCGCAAAGTTGCAGAGGCCTCTAGAATAAATGCCGCTCGGAATTTGAGAGAACGCGAAGAGCGTGAAGCGGAGAGAGAAATGTGTGGGGAGCGGCGGAATGATGAAGCCCAGAAAGATTATGAGGAGCGCATGGGAAGGCGATGGAAAATGCTATGGCAAGGCCGTAGCTTAGAATCTATCTCTTCAGGCCCAGTTTCAATCCTTAACGCGAGCGAGGGCCAGGAGGTCAGCAGGGAAAAGGTAGAGAAAGGTGGTCAAGCGTCTTCTCATCGCTTATCGATCTGGTCCCCCCAATTCGAGAATATATCTTCGGAGGAAGGTGATAACCAGCAAAGCTGGTGGCTGAAGAGAGACAGCAGCTTTAATCGCGCTGCTTCACGGATGAGTAAGGATGGAAGATCTTGACGAGGTGTCTTGGTACTGAGGTGCAATGGAGTCGTCTCTATGCCATCACGGCGGTTGCTTCCTATTTTCATTTTTAGGAGACGACTAGATCGAAATTGGTGTGGTAGGGACTTTGCAAAGAGATGGATCTTCTGGCAAACGTTCCATACTGATCGAAAGCGAGGGCCAAGAGGGCGGTGTGGAGGAGAGGCACGCGAACAACGATGAGGTGCCTTCTCGTCGAATCAGTATGATCCAGCCCAGTCCAAGAAGAATGCGATATAATCACCTGGATCAAGACAATAAAAATATGTCCAATGTTAGATGTCATTTGGGAAGAACCTTGTTGCAACTGAAACCGAACAGTATCGCTGTGCTCCTTTGTTCGTCATCCGGGACAACAGCATATAAATACGCCTATCCAACAGCTCGCTGATGAATTGAAAAGAAAAAAGAACAAGTCAGAAACAGCCTTACCATGGAGTTCCCGTATCGTCCCTCCGAGCCGAAAGCAGACAGTTTAGCGAGTCTCGTATCGAAAGCAGAAGCTCTTTTCTCTGGCCTGTCGCAGACTTACAAAGTTGGACCCCTTAACGTCTTCTTGCATGGTATTTCTTACACTGGATTCAAACTTAGGGATGAGCATGCTAGATTCAAAGTCTGGGTTGAGGAACATGGAGCGCGCAACACCGACAGATTTTCTCTCGAACACCGGATCAACGTCGGATGTAGATCGTCCTCCGCAAGTGTTTTGATAAATCAACTTGATTCCTTGCTTAGAGAACTTGTCAAGTTCCTTGAGCAGGTAGTCATGGCGTGGGCATGGGGTGCGTTTATTCGTCGCAACTGCCGTAGTGTTTGACTCAATCGCGGACAATGTATCTGACATCTCCATAGCAATTTCAGGGCCATTGGAGGATATTAACGACGTTATCAACTGCCTTACGAGACTCGAGTTCATATTATACCGCCAAGCGCCATGGAAGATACCCATTTTCCAGCTCGTTAGTACGGAATTAGCATGGGAGACTCGATGGTAGATTATTTAACAAGGTCGTGGCATGGTTTCTGGATATCAATTCGCACGTTTCACCCCTGATGCCGGCTTGAAGAACTCTCGGAGCGCTGTTCGGAGGAGAGTGGTCACCAGCGGGGCCAGCGAATCGGGGAGTCTGACGAGATCACTGTTCGGATAAGGCACGAATGCTCGCGATGATTCTATCCACAGGACGGACAGGCTCTGGAGTCACAAGATATTAATGAGTCGCATCAATATTGTGTAGCAATACAAACATAAAATTGACCTGACGATGATCGACTTCCGGCTATGGTGATGACATGCCATAGCAAGTCTTCCACCTCAACAATTCAGTCAGACGCCCCGAGGACTTCGAGTTGAGTGCCTCGTGCGTATCGCGCTAAGGCTACTCTTCTCATTATACTAGAATAGGGTCCCGGCGAAATCTTGCACGGCACTGACTTCCTTCTCGCCGGAGCACAGTTCTTACATCACAGGGTGAACTCCTCCAAGTCAGCTTCCAACGGTGCGACTACACGCTCATATACAGCTTTTCGAAAATTCTCATCGTTAAAGTCCTGCGTGGACCGGAAATAGTTTCCTCCAACACACCTGAAGACGGCAGACTTATAACGTCCGCTACCTAAGGCATCTAAGGGCGTCTCTTCCAGCAATCTCTCTACCACATCAGCATCTGAGGGTTCGTCCGGACGCCGCAGTTTGCCGATAGTAGTACCAAGCTCGAGCTCTAGCAATAGGATTCCAAGTGAGAGAAGCGGGGAGCTGCTGAGTCCGCGGGCATCAATGTTCATGGAACGATCTTTCGGAAATTTTCCGGGAAGTTCTTTCTTGATGAAGGCCTGTTTAAGGTTGGGATAAGGCCGTGAGCCATCCGTGATGAAGTATACATCTTGGCTTGTCAGGATATTTGGTAGCCAGGGAGTTTGATGAAGTTGGAGGAAACTCGAAGATATCATCTTGGCTAGATGGATCTTGGCCATGAAGGGCATTTTGGTCTTGGGAGGATTCTCCAGGATCTGCTTCAGAGATATGACGGACCTGCTGTTTGGAGTTTCTGTGGTTTTCTTGGGGTAAATGGTGAAGTTCCAAGACTTTCCTGCGATTTGGTGAGATATCGTGCCCGATATGCCATTCTCGTGACTTCTGCGCAACTCTTCACACATATTGACTTGTCTGGGGAGGTTGATTGCCCCGGCAGTGAGCTTCAGAGTTGACATCGTGCTTGTCAACGCTGCCGTGGTGCTCGGCTGTTTGATATAGGTTGTGGTGACAGTGGTCTTCCGCGACGAAGCAAAACTTACAGCCTTGCGCTGAGGTTGAGAAGGCGACTGGGTTGCTGGCGTTGGCTCCAAGAGGGAGGCGACTTGTGGTGCGGAAGCTCTGACAGTTACTTCTTCCAAGATGATTTGTTGACCAGGTCTCTCGGGAATCACCTCGCTCGTATTGGTGTAATATGTCATGGCGAGTTGGAATCCTAGCTTTTCGATGATCTCAGCATCGTCCAGCTCGTGGGTGGCATCCTCGGAATCAGGCGCTATGTCCATATGGACTT